GAGGAGGAGGAGGAGGAGGAGGAGGAGGAGGAGGAAGAGGAGGAGGAGGGAAGGGAGGGGAGGGGAGAGGAGAGGAGAGAGGGAAAAAGAAAAGAGGCAAGTCACAGATTTGGAAAAAACATTGCCAAAATATATATCTAAACAGGACTGTATCCAAGACATGGAAAAAACAGTGACAATACAACAACTGAAATACAAACAACCCAATTTAAAAATGGGCAAAAGATTCTGAGTCAAAAATAAACATGCACCAGGGACTGGGATGTAGCTCAGTGGCACCACACCTGCCTCACCAGCGTGAGCCAAAATAAACCTCTTCTGCTTTAAGTGTCGGTGTTGGGTATTGTGTTCCAGCAACAAGAAAAGTGACTAAGACAAGGAAATGAGACTAAAACCAGAAGGAAATACTATTACAGTCACCAGAACAGCCATCAAATGTGTGAGAAGTGGCAGAGCCATGTGGCTCAACACTGTTGGGGGTAAGGTAACTGTCATAACCACTTGACAGTTTCTTTCAAAACCAAATGTACACCTTTCCTATGACTAGCACTGCCACAGTAGGTATTTACCCAAAACAAACAAAATATGTTCACAAAAGACTTGTGCAAGAATGTCCACTGTCACTTTATTCAACTGGCCAAAACTAGTAACAATCCCAGTGTCCATCAATAGGAGAAAAGATAAACTGTGATAAGCAATCAAATGAGCAACACAAAAGAATAAGTTACTGATACATGAGACAAACATGGATAAATCTCACAAACACTATGCAGAGTGAAAGAAGTCTTTCTCAAGAGGATATATTGTATGAGTTCATTTACAAAATGAATATTAAGTGACTATGTATGGTAGCAAACTTCTTAAAAGTATGTTCATCTTATAAGTTTCCAATTATAACTGCAGCAGAAACTTAATTGCTTAGTTCTTAAAAACACCTTCAACAAGCTTAAATTTACTAAGCTCCAAAAAGTAGGGATGGTTGTCTTTTTAACAGATCAGAAGTATCTAGCACAGAATAGGTATGATTAGAAGTATTTGGTATAGAATAGGTGATACATATTTGTGGAATTTTCTTTATCACACATAATTCTTAATCAGGCTAATTCAATGCTTTCAAAAGGTGAGATATAACAAAGGCAATACAAATGTCTTCTACAACCCGGCCTGTGTCCAAAGTGGCCCTAAGCTAAGCAGAGATGATTCTAACACTAGTTAATATAAGCTATGTAACTCAATGGATTTCAAAATAATTATGGTACATAATAAGATAGAATTCCAATAATTCATGTAGTTCATTCATCAAAAATTTAATTGGGCATCAAAATTATTTGAGTTTTATAAAAAACAGAGATTTCTGAGAACAGATCCTGATTCAGCAGTTCCATTCGTTATTCTTTAAAGGATCCTCGCAAAATTTTAGCGCATAATTAGGTTTGGCAGCCAATGATCTGATTAATTTCTTTTCAGCTACTTCCAACATATCTTCCAAAAAGATGGCAAGGGAAGTAACCTTGCCAGTTTAGCATTTACATACCAGGTACTATTCAAGATACACCATTTAGATCTCACAACAACTCTTCCAAGTATTGTTAACCCTACCATACAGTTTGGAAAATTGAATCTTGGCAATCTTAAGTAATTTTGTCCAAATTCATTACAGCTAGCAGTAGGAGAACCAAGATTAGAAGCCAGGTGGGTCAACAAAGCTACTACAATACCTTGAAACTTTGAATCAATAAGGGGAAAAGCTTCTGGATAAGTTTCTTATCTAGCATTATAGACACTAGTAACTTTAATAGTAAGTAATTTCTTAAATGCCTGCAGCCTCTCATCCACTGTCTTGATCTAGAGCAGTGATGGCGAACCTTTTAGAGCTTTCAGGGATACAAACAGCCCACTGCAGCACACTGCGTCACCACTGTTCTAGTATCAGTGGGAAAAGATCAGCTGATTTCACCTTTTTTATAGAGCCTCAAGAGAAGTTTCTGTGTGTGAGAGCAACACAAAGAGACACAGAGACAAACTTCTAGGTCTCTATTCCCTGATACTTTCTGCACCTGGACTGCTCTACATTAGATCCTCCAATCACTCTCCAAGTGATTGTCCCAAATGTACTATTTCTCACTCTCTCTCTCCCTCCCTCCCTCTCCAACACACACACACACACACACACACACACACACACACACAGGTATATAATACTTGACTGCTAAAAGTAAATTGCCATTTGCTTCACTGCTACAATAAAGAATTCTTGGTCAGATCAATAGAAAATTACTATCTCCTTCTTGGACTGATTATCTGGGCTTTAGTTCTCTCACACTGTTTTTAGGCTTAGAGATTAAGCTCATACAATACAGCTTGCTACACACAGACAAAAAATGTTTTATTAAAATCTCTGTGTCTCCTATTGTTTTACATACAGTTAGGATCTTCTGTTAGGGATACTTGGGAGAGGGAATCAGGTGTTTTGAATTTTAAAATCCCTATCTTTCATTATGTGATCTCACAACAAGGACTTGGAACACCTGAGTATTCTACTCTATATCTCAAAGTGCCTTTCTTTGCAGAACGCTCAAGACATCCTTTTCCATATCCCACTCAAAAGAAGTTCATGTATCTTAGCCTTGCTCTTTATTTACCATCTGAAAGATCAGACTGTCCTATGCAGAATTCCTTTTCAGTGTCCAACTGTCTTCTATTATTCTAGATATCTCTGCTTCAAGAAGTATCACTGCACATAATGACTTAATACGACACATTAAAGAAATATAAGCCTTAATCTGCTATAACAGCCTGTGTGATTTCTTTCATTAGCAAATATGAGAAATGCCAAATAACAAAACAAAACAACAACAACAACAAAAAGGATGTATCTACAATATTCCTATAGATAGTGCAAGTCCCTAAGCAGGGAGAACACTTCAAAGGAAGCAGCAGACTGCCAGAGAGGCACTCGACTTCGTCCAAGGCTCTTCATCCCAATTAGTTAGTATTTTTTCTATGGTTGTTTTTGCCCATCAAGTGACATACTGAAACAAGAATTCTTTAAAAGAATACCTCAGGTTTTCCAAATGTAAAATTAAAAAACTATAAAAAGCATTATGATGAGGAAAACACTATATGAAGATTATTAAAAATGTGACATAATTTTTAAATTGTACTTAAACTTCTAACCACTTTGCCTTTACCTACCAAAAAGATAATGGCATCTCATAGACCATTTCTACAAATTTTCTACCAATCTCATTCTTTGCAGAGATGGACAAGTGATTGTAGGGGTTTATATATCACTTGAAGGTACAAGTCATAACCACGTGTTTCTTTATAGCACCTCCTTGCTCATTTGTACGGTTAGGAATGCTGACAGGTTCCAATGAGGAAAGTATTAGGCAACATACCTACCAAACTGCCACCAGCTTTCAATCCCTGTGGCACATTTACTGGAGAAACATGGCAAGGACTGGAAGTGCTTTAGTTAACAAAGTCATACTTTTACACAAGTTTATACATCAATTAACTTGCATAAAAGCATAACACATGTGTATATGTGAAATAGTCAAGGTGTTACATAACACAGTCTTATAAATATGCCATAAATGAAACAAATAGGCTGCCAAATATTTAATTGGCAAGGTTTCACAGATCATTGATGAAATCTGTATTCCTTTCTCATCTCATGACATCATGTTAAGTTGAACTCATTAAACACTCATGACAAATTTCTACGACAGCAAGGTAAGGAGTAAAGTTCCCTAGAAGGGAAACAGAGTCGTCCCTACCTGTTTCCCACATAAAATGCAATGCACCTTTATACACCAAAGCTCAGTTCCTGCCCTGTTAGTCTTCCTTAGTCTGTAAAAATTTCAAGATCTCTAGGGAGTCACTGAAATCTAATGGTCTAGGGTAGAAAACACATTGAGCCTTCTTAAAAGTCAAAAGCTGAGTAGCTATTTGCTCATAGACGAACTCATCCATCTAGAGACTGATCTCCACCAAATGCTCTGTGATTCTGTTACTCTGCTATTTATGAGGAGCGTGGTGGCATCTCAGTTCAGAAATTACCAACCAGTCAGCACTGATGGGTACATATTTCTCATGCTCACTCAGTGTTGAGACATATATAATAAATTTGGAGGAAACTTTCTTTCAGTTGGGAGTCAAAATATCTGCTGACGCAGTGATTGGCTACAAAAGCTATTGCTGGGTAAAAAGGAAGACCACCCACTACAAAGAAGGATTTCAATATCAACCCTCTCACAAGAACAGAGAGGAACTAGAGAGAAGCAAAGTAAGAAACTACGTTCCATGACTGAGAAATTGTTTCTAAATATTTTTATATTATTTTAAATTTGTTCCCCATGGGAAAATAGCAAAAGATTAATGGCCCACATGTCCATTTGATTAAAAAAAAACTTTTAAATCAATTTATTTTACTTTTATGATTACAGATAGGAGTTATTAACCATCTGCCTTTGTGTTATTTAAACATTATATGAATAAATGTTATTTTACAACCAGAAAACATCTTATTCATAGAATTGGATATTTATTCCCCAATAATTTTTCTCTGTTGTTTAATAAGGGCCAAAAGCTGCCATCATTTCAAGTTTTTTTTTGAAATTTGTTACCTACAAAAGTATGAAAAACAATAATACAGTATTTCATTGCAAATGAAGAAGGCTTTAAAGAGATTTTTAAAAATTTACTAACATCCTCAATTATCTCCTTTTGAGACGATAATTAAGAGGAAAAAATGATGATCTACATCAAAACTCCCACTGCTGGAGTAAATGAGGGTAACTACCAGGTAACAGTTCCACTAATGCTTTTATGTAGGCAAATACTCTCTTGTATAAGAACAGAAGGTGAATAAATGAGTATTTTACTTTTCCACTTCTTCAAAGCACAGAATGAGTATAACTCTAGAATCATAAAATAAGTCATGTAAAGAACAGACAGTTCTTTGCCATGTTGGACAGAAAATAAAAGGAAAAATAGAGTAGATGGAGGTACAGAGAAAAGGCTTGAAAACTTCCAAAGAGAGTACATTTATTAAGATTAGACAAACACTCTAAAGAAGAAATGTCAGAATAAACAAACCAAAGGAAAATCTTCATGGGGAAGAACTCTTGATTGCTCTGTAAACCAAAGTTATGCCTATTACCATGTTGGTTACTTATAGCCAAAGGCCAGTGTGATAGGTCCTAAAATGGTTCCCAATGGCTTCAACTCTTGATATTCATGGCTTTGTGTAATACCCTCCTACAGTACAGGCTGGACACAGAAAATCACTTGTGATGAACAGACTACAACAAAAATTAATGCATGTGACAAAATTACTTTGACTCTCATCTTATTTACCTTTTCCTGCTCTCAACTGTTGACTGTGATAGAAGATAGGTGCAATGCTATAAACTGCTCTATAGAGACGCCTACATGGCCAAGAACTGACAAAGGGCTTCTTCACCCAACGGCCAGTAAGAAACTCAGGTCTTTCAGTCTGAAAAACCACAAGGAAAGGAATCCTTCCAAATATCATGTGCATGAGCTTGGGAGTGGATTCTTTCTCAAGTCTAGCCATCAGTTAAGATCATAACTCCAAATAACATCTCCCTTGTACCCTTGTGAGAGACCCTGTGTCAGTGAAGCCAATTAATTCCTGACTCACAGAAATTGTTGGTTGCTTTAAGCCACAAAATTTTGGGATAATTAGTTACACAGAAATAGATAATACAACCTGTTTCTTAAAGTAATTGAATTGGTCGTTCAATTAGTCACTTGTAGGACATTTGAACCTCATCATAGAGGCTGTACAAATCTTGTAGTAATTCAACTTCTAAATTCTCCACTGGCTTTAAAAAGCACTATTCCTTCCAAAAAAAAAATACAGTTTATAATAGTATTAAACCTCTTCTGCAAAGTCTTGAAATAATTTTCCTGTAAAAGATTTAAGCAACACATAAATAACAATTTTAAATAACTCCAGTATGGAACTGGAGCTTTGTAGGGATATACAGTACCTCTGCCACAGTTAAGAGAATGTGCCCAGGGAATCAAAATTTAGCCTTCAATGATTTCAATTATAAGAAATCTTCTCTTCCCCTAAATACACAGTTACGGAAAAAAATAAATGTATTTTGATATGCTGAAAATGTAACTAAATGGCTAGATGTTTTAAAAAGACAAACATACAGTAGGGAAAGTTGTTGTTTTTTTTTTCTGACAGGTGTCTTAGTTACCTTCTCGTTGCTAGGACACAATATCTGACAACCATAATTTAAAGGAGAAGAGGTTTATTTTGGCTCACAGTTTGTAGTAGACGTTTCAGTCCACAGTCAGCTGGTCCAAGGTAGAGCAGCATAGCAGAGGGGAATGGCAGGAGGAGAAACAGTGTGTGGCATGGCAAGCAGGAGTCAAGGGAGGAGAAGGGATATACGCCCTTCCAGGCCATGGCCACAATGACCTACCTCATTGACCAGGCTTTATCTCCCAATATCACACCCAGCTATAAACCCATCAGTGAACTAACTAATCCAGTAATGAATATCACACACCTCCCAAAAGCCCCACCTATGAGCACATGAGGCTTTGAGGAGACATTAGGTATAAACCATAACAATGTAATACAGGGAATTCCACAGATCGTAATAGTTGATGGAGTTTTAAAAGAGAACATACCAGTATGGCCACCACTCAGATGAAGAAACAGTCTTCCTGACACCCCCTTTCTATCTGGCTTCTTTCATTCAATATTGCATGTTTGAAATCCTTCTACATCGCTTGCATGCACCAGTCATTTATTCATACTCACTGCTACACAATATTTCATTATATGAATTCATTCTACTGCTGATAGATATCTGGGATATTTCTAAATTTTGGCTTTAAGAATATATTTACTATGAATATTATTATATGTCTCCTCTAATGTAATATAAACACAGTTCTAACAGGTGCATACCTAGGCATCAAATTGTTACCTAGGTTATATGTTTGTTAAGCTTTAGAAGATACAGCTAAATAGGTTTCCCAAATATTTGAGTCATTTAAGTTTTAAATTTTAACCATTCTGATAGCACTTTAGTGGTATTTAATTGTGATTTTAATTTATAAAGCTCTTATGACCAATAAAGTCAAATACCTTAGTATTTCTCATCCCTTTCAGAAATTAATCAGTTGTCTCCCTCATCCTATAAATATAATCTGTCTTGTCCCAATCAAATAAACAATGCAAACACAGAAACAAACAAAACCCAAGAAATCCCTGGAGTTTCTGGAGTGCTAACAATATTCTATATCGTGTTGGTCGTAACCTATCTGTTCAATTTATGTTAATCTGTCTTCACTTTAAAGACAGTCTACAAAGAGTAAACATAATCTTGATACTGGAACTGTCATACAAAGATATTTAAGCAGCTAGCATGACTGTGCTCAATGAAGAAAAATAATGTCTTGTTGAATGAAGAAACAGGTATCTCAACAAACAGGTACAAAATATTAAAAAGAACCAAACAGTGACTTTGGTAATCTAACAAATACAATGTGAAAAAACTAAAAATCACTTATATTATATAGTAATGGAGCTGAGGTAAAATTTAGATGAATCAGTGAATACACAGTATACAAAATTATCTAATCTGATGGGACAAAAATTATTTTTTAAAAAACAGCTTCAGCGATCTTTGTAGCAATAGCAAAAGGCCTAATATATAAGTAACTGGAGTCTCAAAAGATGAAGAAAGAGAAAGCAAAACTTATGATGGTAATCAACAAAAAATGGCATATCACATACAAAGAAACTTACAATTTAAATACTGTGGAATTCCTAGACACTATGAAGGCCAGAAGACAGTGAAACACTTTTTGATTTTTTTTTTTTTTCGGTACCGGGGCTCAAACTCGGGACCTTGTGCTTTCAAGGCAGGCAGTGGAACCACTGAGCTAAATCCCAGGCCCCTAAACACTTTTTGAGTACTAAAAGAGGGGAGAAAAAAACAACCCAGAATTCTACATTAAGAGTAAAGGAGCCAGGCACAGTGGTACACATCTGGGGGCTGAGGCAGGAGGATCACAAGTCTGAGGCCAGCCTGGGCAACTTAGTGAGATCCTGTCTCAAAATAAAAAGAAAAACAGCTGGAGATATAACAGCTCAGTGGCACAGCAGCCCAGGTTCATTCCCCAGGACTGGGGGTGGGGGTTGGGGGGTAGAGTGAAGGTAGCTCCACTTTGATTCAAATGGAGTAACGGACTGGATTTATTTGTCCACCTGAAACAACCAAAACCAGACAAGACATGTGAACCAACAGTCTTGAAGGCATTGGCTACTGTATATTAAAAGATAGTGATCACTGTAACACAGGAAATAAGACAAATCCAACAATTGTTTTAACACAGTTCCAGGCTATGGAACAGGGAAAGGGAACTGAGGCAGAGCACAAGTTACTCCCTAACTTAAAAAAATGAAATTCAGAGTTCAGAAGGAATAGAGCAGCAAGAGGTCTTAGGACAGGGTAGCAGAGATGAAAGAGCAACAGAAAAAGAAAACACAAAATCTACTGAGGATCCCTTCAAGTATTCAGCTGAGTATTTTGCAAGACACACGAGAGGTAGCAGCTAGGGCCAAGGAAAGAAACACTGCAATGGGGTGAAGGTGACAGTGCCAGCACCTGAGTGAGAACAGGAACAATGCCAGGTCAAAGATGCCTGGCAGCAAGGCCTCACCGTTCACATCAAGTGTGGTGAGTACACAGGAGGGTATTTTAGCAGTGGGGGGCAATCGCCCTAGCATGAAGATGAGTGGTCCTGCCTAACAAATCTTAAAACCAAGAATGGAAAGGATCAAACTACTTACATGCAACTTAACTGTGCCTCAGTAAAAAGGCTCTGACTATTTATATGAATAAAAATATCCAGCAGCCAACAAAGTAAAATCCACAATGTGTGGCGCTCAATCAAAAACTGCCAGGCCTGTAAACAAACTAGAAAATAGGGCCCATCATGAAACAAGCCCAAAACTGCTGGAGCTGCTAGAACACAAAGACTTCTTTTAGAAAAGTTATTATACTGTTTTCTACATGCTCAAAAAGCTAGACATGGAAGATATAAAAAAATGCATATCAAATTTCTTAAAATGAAAACCACAATACGTAATGTGAAAAAGGTATTAGATGGGATTAATGGTAGGCTAGATATAAATGACTGGTAACTTAAGAAAGAAAATTTTTATAGTTATCCATGAGATATGTTAATTTATTTATTTTTTTTTGCTGTGCTAGGAATTGAACCCAGGGCCTTGCTCATGCCAAGCAGTCTACCACTGTGCTACATCCATAGTACTATTTTTAAAATTTTTAAAATTTTGAGACAAGGTCTCACTAAACTGTCCAGGCTGGTCTCAAACTTACAATCCTCCAGCCTGAGCCTAAGTAGCTAGGATTATAGGAATGCACATTATGCATGTGTAATTGAGTGCCCCCCAAAAGAAGAAGGCAACAAAAAATATTTAAAGAAATGACTAAAAATTTCCCAAATTTGATAAAAGAATAAACTCACAAGTCCAATAATCCCAATGAACCCAAAGTTATAGTATAAGAAACACGAAAAAATGACAATAAGCCACATTGTAATCAAATTGCTCAAAATTAGTGATAAAGAAAATTCTACAGTGTATCTATACAATGGAACATTACTTGGCAATAAACAGGAATTCAGTACTGATACATGTGACAACATGGATCAACCTGTTGCAGTCAGAGAAAGACATGTTATACACAGAGGAATAATGACAGAAAATAGTTCAATAATGGAAACAAAGCAGAACAACATACTTAAAGTAATGAATCAAAAAAGACAGACAATAACAAGTGTAAGCAAGGTAACTGGAACCATGATACACTGCTGGTAGGGATATCAATCATATGGTGTAGTTGTGTGGAAAACTGTTTACCATATAACCCAGTAATTCTACCCCTAAGTTAACACCCAAGAGAAATGAAGACATGTCCACACAGAAACTTCTACATGAATTTTCATAGCAGGATTATTCATAACAGCCAAAAAATAGAGGGAGTGCAAACGAACCAACAAATGCATGCATAAACAAAATGTAGTAGATGTGCACAAAGAAATGTTTTGGGCAATAAAAAGGAATGAAGTCCTAATACATGCAACAACATGGATAAACTTTGATAATAAAGAAGCTAGACACAAAAGGCCACCTATTGTCCCATTCCCTTTATACGAAATTCCAGAGTAGGCAAATCCAGAGAAAAAGTATGAGCACTTGCCAGGGGCTGGGGCACATGCGCATGAGAAGGACTGCTGTTGGGCATAAGGCACCTTTTTTAGGGTGGTGAAAGCGTTCTGGATTTGGATAGTGTTGACAACTAGAACTCTGTAAAAACCAATGGATTGTATACTTTTTAAGACCGAACTTTATGGGATATGAATGATGTATCTATCAATAAGTCTGTGAAAAGAAATGATAGAAATGCGTTGAGGAGGATTACTCACTAGTCAAAGAAAAAAATTAAAAGGGAAACTGCCTTACCAGAATATTGTAAACCACCACAGACTGAGCAGTTAAAAATTCAGTCTTAAGTAAATGAACCAAACAAATTACTGTATTTAAATATTTAAAATGCAACTTCTATAGGAGGTAATATTGCTACTGCAGTAAAAGAAACAAGATTATTATACTATCACATATTTTCCCTATAAGCTGACAAAAAGAAGCCATCTCATAGCCTGATGGCAATGAAAGACGATGAATCACTGCTTGGGGGAAGCAATTTATTTATTCACACTGAATCACTGTTATTTATTACTTGTCAGCAGATGCTGTTACTTCAATTAAATATAAAAATCTGAAGTTCTCTTATCCCCTAATCCCATCTCTTAAAAGAAGTGACACAAATTCAAAACATTAAAAGAACATTTTAAGTTTATTGTGGTTTTACGATTTTACTGAGGTGTTGCTTATTACATATCTTAGCAAAGGAAAAGATTCATTGCTTTGACTAGTTCGATTTTAATGTTTACAGGGACCACTGTGAAAATATAATTTGGGACCTTTGCTTTCAGGATAATACAAACCCGAAACTTTAAAACAAGGCACTCAGAAAAAGCATTCATTGTAACACTGTGCTGAATTATGAGAAAGCCTGAGACAGCAAAGACTTGGCT